TTGCGCGGTTCGCTCCTCGCAGCCATTGGAAGTAGTAGTCGAAAACCTGGCACGACAACAAATAGTGTTTGAAAGTCCGGTTCGGTCCGGTTTTTTGATGCCCAGTGGCGTTAACCGTAACCGTAACCGGTCTGCCTTTTCCCCAGAAGTCAAAAGACCAGACCGGACCGCAAAAAGACCGCAGACCGCGGTTTTTTGCGGTCCATAGACCGGTTTCGGTCTGCATCGGTTTTAACCGGTTTATGACCGGTCTTTAGGCCAATATTTTAAAATTATGAATCTGTAAATTTATTAACATCTCTAATAGCTTCAAAACGAGCCCAAGAACGTTAAATTCCATTAGGAATTGGTGCTTCTATAAAATAAGTCTGGTACATCTATTATTCCCAAAAGTAATTTACATTTTAATTCATATCTCTCTCGTTTTTTTACCAAATCGTACGTTCTTGGGTGCGTTTTAAAGGGTATTTAAGGGGCTACAAAAGACCGGTCCAAACCGGTCAAGACCGGTTCACGTTAACCGGTCTTTTTGCGGTCTTTACATTTCAAAAATAAAAGACCATAACCGCAGGTCCGGTCTTTTGCGGTCTTGGTCCGGTCTGGTTACGGTCTTTTTCCAGTCACGAGACCGGACTTCCAAACACTAACAACAAATGCAAAAGGGTTATAGTACTGTTACCAGTAAGTAGTATTGTATAAGTTGCAGAGTTTGAGCAGATTTGTTGAAGACAGTAAGTAAATTGAGTAACTTTCTCAGAAATCTCTGAGTCTCCGCAACTGGCGATGGCGAATTTGCTTCGTTAGGTTTGGCAGCAGTCTAGAGCAGTCTCTAATGTTTCGGTGTCAATAAAAGGGATATATGACCTTGGGGGCCAGTACAATGAATTTGTATGGTTAGGTTTGGCAGTAGTCTAGAGCGGTCTCTAACGTTTCGGCATCAATAAAAGGGATATATGACCTTGGGGGCCAGCAGGACGGATTACATAATTATGACCGTGGTAATAGACCTTGCCAAGCAAGGTAATTTCTCGTGAGAAATAAAAGGTCATAACGGAACTTCACCGATTCGCTGATGGTCTACGGTTATGCAGTTAGCTGTAAATCTCTTCATTTTCTGCCTCTAGCCACACTCCAAGTGCCGTCGCGAAACAGATGTCAAAGACGGCTTCAGTGCCTGAAGTAACACACAGTGCCAACATTGGTCCTATCTCCTTTTGTCATTCCAGCATCTGACATTTACTTCAGTGACCCTTCTAAACATGAATACTGAGCTTACCAGTAGTGATTGTCATGGCTTTAGTGGCCCAAACCCATACCCGCAGTGAGGGTTAAACGTTACTGGGTTAGCCGTAGGTATTCCCGAACACCCAGATCAGGCATCGGCAGGTGCGCACAACAACACAAACCCATTCCGAGTCTGTGGGCTATATCAAGGTCAACGCCGAATGGATTCCAACATCATTCTCATTCTGTTCAGAAAGTGCTCAGGTGTTCTCATTCTTCCCCATTGGTATGTTCTATCTATGCTTGCTGACTCGTACTTATACAAAGTTTTCAGCCCCCATTGCAGGCGTATCAGGAGTATTCAGTTCCTTCCACCACCGTGCATCATCGCCTACCACGACGACATGACATGCCACAGGAAACTTCAAGACATTCAACAACGCCACGCGAAGCAAACCAACGACGGTGGTGACGACGGTTTAGTGAGGGACGGTGAGCGAAGGCAACGACGTGAATTCCAGATGACTGGACAAGAGCCGTTGCAACGTATCCACAACTCTATAGACACTGTTGCCGCTCACGTAGCTGTCTAACCAAGTCACCACGATCCCCTGGCCTGCAAGAAACGATGTCTACGCCAACAAAACAACATTTATGGGAGAAGGACGACTTATGTTCACAACCACCACCAGAACCACGACAATGCCCACCCACTGTCACCGACGACGATAGACTGGCTTCCAGGCTCTGCAACTCAAGCGCGTTCCAGCCAATGTTAGGCAGAACATGCATCTTTGACTTCATTTTTTCTATCACGCTAATTAGCTTGTCAATAGCTTCAACGGCATAGCGGGGGCATTGGGGGACACCGATACCCAGAAATCGATACATCGTGTTGTTGCATTGAGGCTTGGAAGGGGAGTCTGAATAAAAGGCATAAGTGCTTCTTCATGCTTAGGGTCTTGAAAACGAAATGCTACAGTAGAGAGATGATAAAATGGTGTATTTCTGGAACGTGGTACAGAAGTGACATGAGAAGCATAGAGAATGGCCAAGTCCCAAAGGATAGAGCGCGAGCGCTCAACGTGCTCGGTGGCGCAAGGAGCGAGGATAGGACCCCTGAAAGTACTCTCACATGCCTGATCCAGATCCGGATAGAAATTGGCGAAAATTTTGGAAATGCCTTAGGTCTGTCCGGATAGAAATTTCGCTATTTTGGCGAAATGCCAGAGGCAGTTTTCCGGATAGGAATTGGTGAGGCTGAGCAACCCTGAGCCGATGTCCGGATAGAAATATACACTATAGAAATTTGACCTCGAAAAAGGCAGTGCGCGCTCACTGCTGCCGCCAACTTATTTATTGGTATATACTTTAATATCTTTCTTTCCCATTCTTTCCCCCTGTTCTCCGTTCTTTCGGACAATCCTTCTGTGATATATATATTTTCTCGCATCAAATTGGCTCTCAGTTCTGCGTGGACTCATTGCCTCGATCATCTCCCGCCGTCTGCCTTCTTGTGCACCCTCATACTCCAAAAATCACGCAAAATGGCCTCAAAATATCTACAGATGATTGGAAGCTGTTCAAAGAAATCAAGGACAACAGCAAGATGGTAAGTTTACAGACCTTGAAAGCTTCCAACTGTGGAAGATGAAGAATAGCTTGTTTATCTTCAAATTTCTGCATGTATAATCCATATACTATATTCACTTATGTATATTTTACTTTTTCCTGATGTACGGGCCTCCAGAGAATGCCTAAGAGGGGCCGGGAGGGGCTAGCAAGCCAAAATTCACTCTTTTCGCACCAATTTTTTAAAAATAATGATTTTTATAGGCCTGATCCGCGTCCGGATAGAAATTGACCTTATCGAAGGCCAGATCCAATATCCAGATAGAAATTTGGCAAAACCGTCCGGATAAAAATCGGGCAGTTTGGGGCATTTTGGGATCAGGCATCTGAGGGTACTTTCAGGGGTCCTGTGAGGATCAAAATGCTCAATGACAAGGGGTGTCAGATCCAACGATTACGGACGTCAGATCCACTCATGACAAATCACAACCGGTGATATCTGAGAGACGGCATGGCATCTTCCCATCAAATTCAAACCAACTCCACCTTGAGCGCTTGAGCGCTTAAGTGTCGATATTCGCAAGAAAGACATCAGTAGTATCGAAATGTGGGTGGGTATTTAGTGGTACTGGTAGATTAATAGCTGGTAAAGGAAATTGGGAGTGAGATGGAAAAGTCAGAAGGGATAATGGGTTTGCATGGCGCATATCAGCGAACACGACGCGCAACCCCCATCTATTGCCTAGCCTCGTTTGAAAGTTGTTTCTTCCTCTTGAGATATTGTGATTTTTTCTCGGAACTCTTGAAGTTCTCGCCTGTCTCAGCGCATCTGGCACAGATCTTGATTTGATGAGGGATATAAATAGCTAACACTGCCATCAGCGCTCAAGAAGACCCCCCTCTCAGGCCCATTACCCCCAGACAAAGAATCGGCCTCTAAGGGCCCAGAAGCACGTGGAGGTGCTAGGCCTAAGGTGCTTTCCGCTGGGAGTAGTGTTGCCGCGAGGTGAACCGAAGCGAATCGAAGTGGGGAAATGTGTGCACTTCGATCCACTTCAGTCTTTCGAAGTGAATCGAAGCGAATTCGGTGATCCCCGTAAATTGATCAGCCAATAATATCGTTCGCATTCTTGGTGCTGAACGTTGTAGTAACTTGTCGTGTACTTGAATACATGATGTAGTATTTACTTAGTATCACACAGGTACTTTAGTATCAATATCTTTCGAGTTCTGAAATAAATCCCTGTCAAAAGCAGCCTCCGTTGAGATAGTGTAATCCTTCTTGCACGCTTCGCAAACAAAGAAAAGAGAGAAGGAGGATGAAGAGCAGGGCTCTCATCCGCAGGTCTGCCTTCATGCTGAAAATGGTGGGGCGGGGGAGTGAAATACAAGCTGAGCATGAGTCGGGTACTGGCACATGTGCCGCTACTGTTGCGCTACTGGATCTTATATTGGCGTTGTCCATGTCATTCAGCTACGAGATCAGCGACGAAACTGAGACAGTTTTCTCATATGAGAACTTCAGCACTCGCAAAGCCTCGATATTCTCTGTGCAAATCTTGTCGCGTCGCAGAGAACAAATTTCTTTTGAGACTTTATAGTCGCGGTGTTCACCCCTCCTTCCTAAGCAAATTTTATCATACGACACTCATAAATTGAAAGAAACTGGTACTATACATTCAGCCACATAAAACTGGTGTGATTTAAGATTGTATTGGGGAAGGGAGGGAGGAGAAAGAGGGAGAGCGTCGAATCGCGACTGTAAAGATCACTAAACGCGCCTCGACGCGCTGCTTCACGTGCGCCAATCTTCCTTTTCTAGCCATTATTGATGGCCATCACAAATTCACCTCGACTCACTTCGATACCTCGAAGTGACACGAAGTGGTGTGATTTTCGAACCGAATCGAAGTCACCTCGAAGTCACTTCGCTTCGACGGCAACACTAGCTGGGAGTGCTGAACCTCCATCAGCCTTTGTCCGAGTCAATCCACGCACAACCCTCCTGTATGGCAACAGGGAGTGGTCAGCTTCATTTTCGCGGCAAACACCGTTGTTTGTCCACCTGCCGAGTTGCGTGCCGGACATAACTATTACAAAATACCATTTTCCCACAATAATTACCTTACTTGAGCTCGTAAAATGTTGAGCACTAACAGTTCTGAGAGTGTGTCGAAGATGGTAAGTACACAATCTCCTGTCTATTTGCTTTTTAAATTTGTTTGTTATCTTTATGTTATGATACTTCTGCTATGTAAATTGTTCTACCAACACTGTCCAGCTTTCAGCCAGTCACATTATGCTGTTCAAAAAATTAGTCAAAATTCAAAGTTCTTTTTCAGCCACTGTGCAAAGTTGAAGAATGGTGAAACAAACTTCAGCAGTTAAGATTGAAGAAAGTAATTTGATTCTCTTCACCACAAATCTGCAGCACTCCTCATGCTGAAGAAAACAATAAAAAAAGCTAACTTTCAACTAAAATGCCTTTAGTATTAGTGTTTGGAAGTCCGGTCTCGTGACTGGAAAAAGACCGTAACCAGACCGGACCAAGACCGCAAAAGACCGGACCTGCGGTTACGGTCTTTTATTTTTGAAATGTAAAGACCGCAAAAAGACCGGTTAACGTGAACCGGTCTTGACCGGTTTGGACCGGTCTTTTGTAGCCCCTTAAATACCCTTTAAAACGCACCCAAGAACGTACGATTTGGTAAAAAAACGAGAGAGATATGAATTAAAATGTAAATTACTTTTGGGAATAATAGATGTACCAGACTTATTTTATAGAAGCACCAATTCCTAATGGAATTTAACGTTCTTGGGCTCGTTTTGAAGCTATTAGAGATGTTAATAAATTTACAGATTCATAATTTTAAAATATTGGCCTAAAGACCGGTCATAAACCGGTTAAAACCGATGCAGACCGAAACCGGTCTATAGACCGCAAAAAACCGCGGTCTGCGGTCTTTTTGCGGTCCGGTCTGGTCTTTTGACTTCTGGGGAAAAGGCAGACCGGTTACGGTTACGGTTAACGCCCCTGGGCATCAAAAAACCGGACCGAACCGGACTTTCAAACACTATTTAGTATCATTGAAATTCTGTGGGGTAAGTTATTGTAAGTCCTGTGATAATTACAAGTACTCAGAAGGGAATAAATCTTCTAGTACATTTTCAAATCACTGCTTTTCCCAGGTGTTATACTTTGAATGAGGTATTTTTTATTTACTCTGTGAATATGGAGGGTAAAGACATGACTGTAATGGAGAAGTAGCATTAGCAAGAAAGGACAGTAGCTCATCAATTAATTCCTGGAATACAAGAAAATATGTAGAGTGAATCCTAGTCAGAGATTGAAATATACATACCCATAGTCCTTAAATTTGAGTTGCAGTAAGGATATTCAAAAGATTTTCTCAGCTACCTTGCCACCAGTTTGAAAAATTTCAAAGTCTGCAGATGGAACCATGAGATGAAAAAAATTCCAATGCATTTTTTACTAATCCTTTGACCTGGATTGAACCTCATAGATTGCAACAGGCTGAGAGCTGGGTAACATCAGTAAAACAATTCAGAAGGTTAAGTACCATGATACAGAGCTGACAAACAAATTTCCAAACTAAATAGGCAGGAAATGGTGTACCCATCATCACTGATGCACTCTCAGAACTGTTGTTTTCAGTGGATGCTTCACATTTACAAGCCACAAGTAAGGTAATTATCGTGGGAAAACAGTATTTTGTAATAATTATGCGCGGCAGCAACTCGGCAAGTGGACAAATAACGGTGTTTGCCGAGAAAACGAAGCTGACCACTCCCTGTTGCCATACTCCTGGACCTCCACATGTCAGTGGTGACGGCCCACGAGGGCGTCAATATTCTCCAGCATTTTGATACCCCATATCTCCGCTACCTTAACTTTCTACAATCATTCATTGATGGCCCCATCTCACAGGATTTCAGGGGGTGCCGAGGTCCTGGTCTCTGGAAGCATGACTTCAGACTGACTGCCACATCTTTGAAAAATGGCAAGATGGCCACACTGTCGTTATATGTACGGTAAGGTAGTGGAGTGTGAACATTCATAGTATATACAATGATATCCCAAAATTAAAAAATTCTCAACATAAAATAGTGGAAAGCAGGCAAGAAAAAAATTTGTGCGTTTAACAGGGAAGCGTCGAAAGCAAGAAAGTAAGAACGGTACATAGCAGCATGATGGGTGGCAGAGTTGGACAATACTAAGATTTGCTTCTTGTGAGTGTGACCTTTGGCCCATCGGCGTTGATGTTGACTTTCTTCTTCCTCATGCCGCGCCGACTTTCCAATGGGTACTCACATCTCAGAGATCGGCGTTGGCACTGGCTGTAGGACTGTGAATGACTGATTGCGATGATCGTGAAAAATTTGGGACTTACTTGCAAGTCTTGTCCTTGCTTCCTGGGATGGGAGCTCCACAAGCAATCTTTCGACGTCTGCAGAAGAGGCACGCAAGTGGTGGTTTCTTTTCCGCCGGACATTTGATTGGAAGAGGGGTCAATGGCATCAAGGGTCGCGGCGACACAGAACGATGAGCCCGCCACACAAAAGTGTGACGTGACGACGGGGCGTGGGTCTGATAGTCGCTTTGACGACGTGCATAAACGTGTGGAGGATGATCGCGAGAGGTGACTCTGACTGTCGGTTCCTGCACCATGCGATGCCTTCGAGTTGGCGTAGTTGAAGCAGGCGAATTTGGCCAGGCAGGCTCGGCAACCGTACGATATTGGGGGGTAGGGTCAAAAGGAGGGGGTACTTCTGTTCTCGTTGAAATCGTCTGTCTGAACTTTCCAGGTGCAGGAGCGTCGGACACGATATGGTCCACCACATGTGACTTGGATTTGCAACAGGGATAAGAGCAATGCTGTGACTGGGTCGGGCTGGGAACTTGATTGACCTGCGGATAAGTGTTTAGGTCGGGTCGACTTTCCAGAGGTGGGGCATAAAATTGGTAGAGTTGTTCAGCTTGGTTAAATTGTTTCGAATCAAGGTTCTGGGAAGGGGTTGTCGGGTGGATGGCCATAGACTGGATGCTTGCATAGTCATAGTAAAGACTTCGGCACTCAACTTGCATAGAGTCGTGATGCGGTGAAGGTTGTAACGAAGGAGGGGCTTCGTAACAAATGCCCTCTCCAAAGCCATAGTTCTCAGCCGGGCCATGGCCATGGTTCAACTGGGCGTCAATTTGAGCCTGCCTGGCCGCCCTTGCCTGAGGAAAAGTAGTGTAGAACTCTTCGTCGGTTTCGCGCAAAGTCTGAGCGAACAAGGAAAGAGGTTCTGGTTCAGATTGCTGTTGTGATGGTATAAGATGAGGGCAAGTAGAGAAGAGAAGGGTAGATAGATACCTGGACGAAAGAGTAAGGATAATGGTCAGATGGAATCGCCATGTGGGCAAAGTTTATGAACAGTACTAGAGAGGGTAATCACCTCACTCGATTCACTTTGATGACACGATTCAAGACCCTACCCAGTTACATAAATCCTATGTACCAACAACTATGCGACCCACACTGGCTCATCCTTCTCCTCAGATGTAGTATATCCCTCTCCTTCACTGCTCAGTGCCGCCCATGCGCCATTGATCACCTCATTCCCCAGTGTTGGGATTTTGGCACCTCGTCGGAGAAACCCGCTCTCTTAAATCATGATGGAGAAAGTTGTGATTACGGATTTCAGCGCAGGTACCTACCTGAACCCGGTATAACGTCGATGCATTCACGAAGTCCTTGTATCCTCTCCGTCTGTGATGCCGAGGATCGCGGGTATGTTCAGTGAGTGTGTCGGCCTCAGATCAGAGTCCACGACACATCCTCACTCTGAGATTCCATCGTTGGCCTACCAGACTCACGTAGCGGCGGCCTATTTGATCGGTAGATGGCCTACCAAACTCAGTCGCGAAATGGCTCGTTTTGTGCCGTCTCTGACCTCTTTTGATGGGATTTCATCTCGCTGCTAGCCATCACTCTATGCATGGTGCGACTAGGCCTCCAACTGATTTGAACTCTGATACCTGATGCAAACCTGATGGGGATGGGAGTGGGAATGGCCCCTGGACGCAATTTTGATAAGGACTCCGAGACGCCCCTCTCGTTTGAAGCACAGACTATCGCAGATGGGTTCAAGAGGAATTTTGGGTGGACAACCGGCGGATCTGCGGATCGGGTAGATACCGCGGGAGTTTGAGTCTGAGTAGTGGTTAGTCTTCACATTGTGGCGAGGGTTGGGGATTACGCTGATGCTTATGTGAATTTTACTTGGGACACTGAAGGAGGAGGGATTGTTATAGAAAGAAGGACTGCATATATTTCGTACAAAATACAAGATGATTCAAAGGTTGCCTATGGTGTTTCGTAAAGTAGCATAAAATCAACATATATGGGCTCGCTTGATGTTATGAAAGGTATCACTGAGAAGCGAACGACAACGAAAAGAATGTTCGAAAGGTTCAAGTTACACACGCACTGCGCTGGAAACTTCGTCAGTATTACACAAGACGTGACGGTAGCCAAGGGAAACTCACACCACGCCCTCTCCACGCCGATACCTTTTCTGCCATGTCGACTTCATAATCCACGTCGGTCTAGCGCTCTTAGCACGTGAAAATGATGCTCTGGCAGGCGAGGGTAATGATGCCCTGCTTGGATCGGACGCCAAGCACCGCCTATCTCGCCGCCACCATTGCGCTCCCAGATCCGCGCTTGATATTAGATGGTTCTTGCCAATGGAGATACAAATCCTCCAATGTGGGGTTCTTATGGCGAGAGTACGGGAGGAGAGGCACAATTAAAGGTGAAATATCGTAAGTGGATGCTTTCGTCGCGGATATTGGAATGGCACATAGTGACAGTGGGACCCAATGAACACTTCGTACCCTTGTGCTTTGCCGACAACTGCTGGAACAAGCGACCGGCTTTAGAACTCGGAGTAAGATGGGCGTGAAAGGCTGAATGAGAATACATTAGCAAAACATTGGAATAAAAAGAATCTGACCAGGCGTAATCACAAGATTGGGGTTCTCCAATGTAGAGGGCCCATTTGAGCGAACGACAGGTGACTTTGGTTCGGGTGCAGAGGGATATATGGGTAGGTCTCTTTTTTGAGTGGAGATTTCCGTTTGTTCTGTAGCCCAGCTGGATCGGAATGTGAAAGCTCTAACTGAAGAACGAATCCGAGTTGTCGGTCTCGCTGTCATTAATGTAGTCGTGGTCATATAATCATCGCAGCCGTCGTCTTCATCGTGATGAGCAAGATCGTCGTTCAAACTTCGAAATGGGAGATGGCGATAAGCTTGAAAGCATACCTTCAGCGTCAGTCATTTAACGTGATGAAAGAGGGGCGACCGTACCTGAGCGACGAGCCAGTGTCTGCCCTTCCGCTACGATCCGTCAACAAGGGATGAGCCAAACCATCGGGCACGAGATTATTGAGTTGAGTGACCTCTTTTCATAGAGGCTACGCAAACCGTATGAAGTAACGCCATCCTCGCACGACATGAAGACCCGGTTATCGAACGCCAAAATTCCCATCCCGCGACAGGCTGAATTATCGGACTAAATGGCAGTGGTTCAACCCAACTAGATGGCGAGCTTATCATCGTTGAGCAGAGTCTTATCCAATGCCTAAACATTCGTGAGAGGTGAGACTTCAAGCATGATGTAAGATACGCACATATGTGGTATGGTCCTTGGAAATGAAAGAGCATTTCGTTGCAAAAAAATGGATAAGGTGGGTGAGCTGTTTGTGTAATTCACACCTTTGTACAATCCATTTGTTAGCACTAGGTAGAAATGAGAGAAAGAGAAGAACCCTGGAAAAGAAGGACACGTACCCCTCCCAATTACCCTCATTCAACCTCAAAATGTTTTTCCCATTATCTGTTTCTCCGTGGCGAACGCAGAGATATCACGCGTCACTTGATCCAGAATCTCCCCGGACCCAGCTCCGCGGAGCGTGGAGGAGAGGTAGGCGGATAGGTGCGTTGGTGACCCTATTTTCGGGTCTTCTCGAGGGTAAGGTAGACGAAGGGTATCAGCCCGTTTCGTCCTTCGATGCATGCGCGAGGTATCGTCCTCTTCAATTTCACTCCCACTCCCAGACGCAGGTGAAGGACCAGACGCAGGTGAAGGAGACAGAGACCTCGAAGGCGGCACAGATAAAGACTTAGGCTCCTCGGAAGTCAAGCTCCTACTATACCTATGCCGGCTCTCCTTAGGAGGCTTGAACTTCGTCGGGGACACCTGGCCACTTGGAGAAGGCGTAGACGGGGCATGGTGATGCTGTGTGAGTGTGGTACTATGGACTGGGTGGTGCAGTGAAGAGGAAGCGGGAAAGGATGCCAGTGGATGTTGTTTTTATGGCTACTAGCGGTGTGGGTTTGGTTTTACTGCGTTTAAAGGGGGTTGCGTTTGGGGATGATTATGGAAGGGTCTTTTGACTCTTTGGTGGATGAGCTGATAAGTACCGCGGAATGAGAAGCTGGAACTCGGAATTGACTTGAGGCGCTGTCACGTTGGTCACATCGTCTTCCCCCCGACTGCCGTGTACCTGTCTAGATAAGTCGCTCCGAGACCAACCACCCCCAAGAAGAGTTTCGCCGCGCTCTTGCTAGATAGTTTATGATCAATTTCCATTGCTTTTCCATCCCTAAAAAGTAGAAGTGACGACGGATTTAAAATTGCGCATCTTCTTCTTAACGACAACGTAGATTGATTCCATGAACATCGAAAAGCTTCGGATACTATTTAATGTTCAACCCTACGTGCGAGGTAGGACGAGCTTCCCCCGCCCTAATCTAATTCATATGATTGGAGAAACCCGCATCATATGTCCAAAAAAGAAAAGAAAGAGTGCAAAAAACAAGAAGTCGTCAACCAAGCAGGAAAAGATGCGTACAATGCGAGTAGGACCGTCCTTCAGTCACTGTGAGGAGAGAAGATATCTCCCGATATCTTGGCAGACCAACACATAGACGCGATGACCAGAGTGTCTGTGACTAGGCCATCAGGAAAAACCCAAATTGCTAATTTTTACTAATTAGTTGCCATTAGTATGGACCGTTCTAATCGGTGCCAACAAATGCTTATTGCTACTAATAAATGCTTCTGCAAGGTGGTTAAGCATTAGTCTCTTTCAGTACAGTCGAGAGATTCGGTAAATCTAGGGTCTAACGATCCTGCTTTCTTCTGCTCGTATCCACAAAGAGATGAGGGAAAATCTGATATATTGCAGAATCTACATAAGGGAACACAGACGCCGTTGTACAACAACCATTGATCTCCTCACGGCGTCCTACCCATTTCATGGATGACGAGGAACAGCGTCGATCGCCGTATCCGCCTGTGTCAGGATTGAAGACAATGGTAGGGAAGCTTGCTTTTCTGCATGTGAGTCGTCGATGGATGAGGCAAAGTCCAGAACGGAGGGAGGGAACAGACCACTTCAATCATTCCGACGACTTTGCGCGGGACACTCTATGGGGGTCAAGCGGGTGACATGGGAGAGTAGGCGGAGGAGGAGTGGCAGGCGGTTGAATGTCCCGTTTGAGTGTCGCCGATGAGGCCAAGAGTCTGTGGTTATCGTGTCAAATTGGGGTTAGAGGGAGAAGGATATGCACACCAGCGGCTACACGTCACCTCGTTGTGTTTTCAACAGAGCGGCAGCAGGTGTGACATCGGAAGCCTGAGGAAAGGAATGAGAGGGCCAAATGGTCAAACCGTCGAAGACTCGGACGTACCCCAATCCGAATATCCCCTCAATCTGCCCAGTCGAACTTACAGCCTTTCAAGTACTGTGAACGGGTCAAATTCCCATGAGACACGCACTGATGAGAATCCACAGTGAAAAACGTACCAAATGGTGTTGAACGACCAAAAGTGTGCATGTTAAGGTGACGGTGAGAAGCTTCGTAGAGGCTGGAGCATAGGAGAGTGGTGATGGGTGGGAAGACGATGGTTGAAGTTGAGAGTCACGTGAAAGTTCAACATAGGCCAAATAGTAACAATTTTTCTATGACGTTCCACATATATTATCCATCTTCCTGAATCCCAACTCCCACCACACCTTGACCACACCTCTGCCCAACAAGGCCGACCCCTTCATAACCACCCGCCCACTACACCTTCACTCTACAGCCCGCCCACTACACATCGTCGTTCATAATAACCGCCGCCGCCGCCCACTACACCGTCACTCTACGGCCAGGTCGATCCAATCTCTGCTGCCCTAAAACCTTCAGCCAAGGCAGAGCGTCTGTCCCGTCTGTGGGCAGAAGTTGAGGCGAAACGGGCTATTGAGCAAATCGACGATGAACGTGAGCGGGAGCGATTGAAAAAGAAGGGCAACGTCAAGGTTAGTGCGCTTTACGCTCATGTGCCGCATACACTCATCTGCGCGACAAGCTTCTTCTCATCGGTTGATACAAGAGCGGGAAATCGACACTTCAGAACAGTTCCATCTCATGTATAAGCCCACTTCGATGGATCAAGAGTGCGGATCCTGGTAAGCGGCCCTCTCTTTCAACCTCGTTCATTTATTGAAACACATCCTAGCTACTACGCATGAAGCTTAGGACAACATTTTTGACGAAGACGCCGAAGTGCGACCTACATCGACGGACGATTCACAGTCTATCATACCCAAGGAGGCTCACAAAAATGGTAATGTAGTTCAGCTATCACCTTGTATCAAGTCATGCTCAGCACGTCATCATCAGCGCCTTCGTTTGGTCCTTCGTTCTCCTTGCGCTCCTCACTGCTGGGGTCATCACCCTACGCCGGATCAGGGTGCTGGGTGATCATACACGTTATGAAGTATACATACTTAGCCTACTTGTTCTGTATGTCGTAGATTGATGAATATACATTGTTGAATCTTTCAAAAAATTGATGATCTAAAGCCATTCTTATTGCCCACTAAATACCTGCTATTCAGAACTAACTCTGAACTTACTCCTACAAATGTGTGCTTAGAGCTGCTTTTTTTGTGCTTAAAAAGTAAAAATAAGCAAGTACATTGTACTGTACATAATAAGCAGCCAATAACTCGGAACCTGTTTAATTTGACCTAATTTCACTAATCGTACTTATGGGCACTAATCACACTAATTCTAACTTTTCTCCTCTCATTAACACAAATCACTATAAATTTGCAAGTTGGGTTTTTCCTGATGCCACCTACCAGAGCGAACATCTGGAAGATGAACACAGCTACAGCAACAAACAACTTACTTTAACTGTTTCGAGATACGGGGGCATGTCTTCAGTAGTTCAAAGTGCGAGTTCAAGAGAATTCCGCTGCGCCAAAACACGTAGAACACGCAATGCACATACGGCAGATCGTGATTTTTGGGAAGGTTCAGAACAAGTTCAGAATCCAATCAGAATCGATCACTCACATCTATCACACTCGTAGCGCCTGGGTAGAAAATTTGGACGACGTCGCGCTCGGTTGAGGACTCAGGGCATTGCCGTTTCGGACATAAAGAGCGCTCAGCAATGATGGCTTTCACCCTTTCCTGTTGCTTTCCCACAGCAGAATAGGTCAATCTATTTCTCGCATCTACTTCACAAGCAATTTACCTTGTTTTTGCAATCACCTAATGACTCGGATGACGACAGTATGCGATCCATCCGCCCTCGACGAGTCGACCAACCCTCGACACCCCATTTTCGCCCATACTCATGTAAGGGCATACCACATTCACAACAATAACGAAACTCAGTCCGCGGGTAATTTCCATTGGTCCGCTGAGGAGTTTGGACGCGCGCACGATAAGTACTATCACTGACCCTGTTTTGCAAATATTTAGATCAAACCTTCACAGCGCTCTAAGAAGTGAGCCGTTCTTCTCAATTCTTTGACCAATGGAAAGGCCTGATCTCTGGTTTCAAGACGGTGGTTTTTTCGTATTTAACTGAGGTGGTTAAGTGAGGTGCCGATGCAAAAGAGAAAGTCACCTAGTTTTGCAAATTTCGTCACGCTTGTGTCACGCAAGAAGCGTCAGTCGTGCGCCTCTTTGCATCATTCAAAGATTGAATCCCAGTGAAAACCGGCTCTGCACCGTTCCGCAGATATCGATGGCGGAGGACAAAATCGGCGAGAATCCGCACCTGACTGTGATTTTCGGCATCAACCGAACACGGACTTCTTTCCACAGCGTTACTTACTTTTTTTCGACTCGAGAGTCGACACCAACCTGTTTTACAACAAAATTCTTTCTTTCCATTCAAAACTCTGTTTGCAAGTCGACGCTGGGTGATTATATATATCAGATGCCCTCAAATGATTCCCATTTCTCTTTCCTTCCTTCCCCCACTTTCCCCTTCATTCTGTCTTCCAGGACTGCAGGACTTCCAACATCGCTGCGCGCATCCCTCGGCAAGCCCCTTGTGGACGTATCAGAACAATGAGGGTACATCATCATGGGAGTTCGATGTGGTGGGAATCGTGCATTTGATTCGCCGTAAGTGCCTTGTTGTTCAAATGACTAAATCCTCACCTTCATGTAGACAAGCCGGCCGTACGCGTTCTCTCACACAATAACATCTCGGTGAGTAGTTTTTTGGCACAGTTAGATAAAGTTCTGACCATTTATCATGCATATATGCGCCCTATTTTTGCTCAATCCTGCTCGGCGGCGCCGCATTTACCAAGGTGCGTAACTTTTCAGTCCAGGTTAGCGCTAGCTCGCAAACTAATATCCTTCCTTCCGTGTTCCATCCCCATACACAGCCGCTTCGGGGTAGAGCCTTGTCAGTCGAAGGGACGGATGGTCGTGGATGAGAATTATGAGCCGTTCTGACTATCAGCGGCGCGGGGGTATGTGGATGGGATGGTTTCAGTACTGGGAATCGCAGATAGTAACGGAATATAGCACATTTCTGAATCAATACAAAATATTCACCAGCTACAGATAACGACCGCAAAGTGCAGGTGCAGGCGGAAAGGAACCGATTTAAGCAGAATTTTCGGCCATTTGTATCAAAATGGTGACTTTCAAGGCAGAGCCTCGCGGAAAAAAATCCGCAAAAGGGACGAAATCCCAGTCTACCAGCGCCTTTCTGCTCTGCCGACGATCTCTGATATCTGCCGGGAATCCGCAGATACTTGCGGCTGAGAACAGAGCCGGTTTTCACTGGGATTGAATGTGAACCTCACGTGGCGCAAATTCTTGTCGAACACACGTCGGAGTTTGAAGTGCCTGCTTTAACTTGTCACGCTCGACTGTCGGGATGCCTTGTTCATCTGTGGACGCACAGATGCTCTCAAAAAGTTATGGAATGTCTACTATATGTATTTATCTCAATCCCTCAAAATAATGAGAGCGCTCTGTTGGAATTAGAATATTTTATGCAGGCAACATGGTGGGGAAGTGCGGGATTTTGGTATATATTGCAGCCTGTGGCACTTTTCCATCCAATTTCTTCAAATAAAAAAATATAGTCGCACTTGATACATAGATATACACCCCCTCAAATATTTTCAGAGTGTAGATCGTATGTGTTGTAAAGTTAGAGACTGATTTGCAAAACTAGGTGACTTGCAAAACTAGGCACGTGATAGTACAGGGATTTGAACGTGTCCTCACGGAAATTGTCGATCGCCGTTATCCACACCGTGACTTCCAAATCCCAAAATTGCTTGGAATAGGACCGCCAGTTTAGTTCTAAAAAGGACTGCGAGAACCGGACCGACCCGAATTCAACCGGGCCATATGAAGTGATAAGGCCGAGCGCTGAACGTTTGATCTTCGCCCCCATCGTCGATATCACGATTGAAAGACAATTGCCAAGAGTTCGAGAAAGGTGGGACACCCACTGGCATCGTAATATTGACGTAACATTTTGATCTTTGCAGATGTTGAATGCCAAATACATGAGGAATATCAGTCGAAAAGCAGTGGACAACAACCCGAAAGAAGACGTAACCTACGCTGTTTTTGTGGAATTCCTGGGTCGGCATAAAACGCCCTTCGAGCGGTTTGTGATCTACTCCCAATTATCGTTGAAGTGGAAACCAGATGTGAAAGAGGACCGCCGCTTAGAAATCCCAGACCTCGGTGTTGGCAATTTTACCGCAGTCGGCGTCATGCCGCCATTCAAGTTGCGCTTTGGAGTGGAAGCAAAGCGAGCAATTGAGGAGATGAAGGGACTACCTCCGCCCAGTTCAATCATCAATAACAATGAAGTGAGAGTCGCTTTCCACACGCTCTATTTCCAAGCCCAGGATCAAGCGAAGGCAGCCATCAAAGGTCAATATCCACTGTTGGGTGGTACAGTGCAGTGGATATTACTTATTGGGCCCTACTGGGTTCCTGTCATTTTTGGTCCATTTACAGAAGACGAACTCACAGTCCGCGCTCATAAGAAGGAATCACCAAGTGGGGACTGGCTGACACAAGTGATCCTCAACCGAGAGAGGGATGGTTTGCCGCGCCCCTTAACAGAACTCAATCTGCTTTGCGATAACAATTCATCTACTCGACTGGAGCAAATTATTTCTGCCACTGATGCGCTCACGCAACCTCTCGTAAATGCACTCATGGCTTGTAAGTCCCAGCGTCTGTCCGGCAGCTGCTGCTAATATATTTCGAATAGGATTTCATTGGGATTTCACTGCGTTTGGTGTGGACTTTCATACAAAATTTACGATTTTGAGCAACCCCCAACGATTGTGATACATCGGTACCGTGATGCATAAGAAATTATATACTTACATAAAACCTCACCTTGACCTCACCTTCTGCGCCTTCCTCTTGAAATCCACATTGGATCTACAGCAATGGAGAGCCGGAGCTCTGGGTTTCGCAAGGCCCCAAAAAAGTGGGTGGACAGTACTTTCGGTTATCAGGTCGCAGTAGAAAAAGCACAAAACGAGCAAGGTCTTGAGCTCCTCATTACTCTTGGAGTGTTGTTGAGCGGCAGGTTGCAACTGTGATATTCAGGTCCCTCACGCGGAAATGAGTTGTTATTTTGAATTTTTGGAATGGTCACTGCCTAGCCTGGAGGCCAAACTTTGATCGGTCAATGATCGGTCAATTTTCATGTAGGGTGAATATCGAAGGACAAGGTGCACCGATACAGTGGATTGACATTCCTTGGAACCAACGCGAATTTTGAACCCGAACAAAATTCTGAGCCGATTGGAGCTCCCCTCCTTCTCAACGCGACTGTAGCATACTCCTTCCTTCCTCCCTTCCTCTAAATGCCTTTCTGCACTGTTCCATTCCACTCCAGCAGGCTGGTAGCGCCGCTCCGCCAGCCATCCCAAAATGTCGGAGGGGAGTCGAGATCTGTTCGCTCCTCTTTAGGAGTGACTCGCAGCAAAAATTAGAATTCAACAAGCAGAACGCACCGTCGAAGGACGGCCAAATGGCCGGCGTGCAAATCCTACGGGCGACATCAGCAAGTGTTTTGTCTGAGGGCGTCACTGGGGTCTTCATCAACTCTTTCTCATCGCGTCCAGCCGCCATCACGATCATGACATTGAGTTTGCCATCTTTCTCGTAGCCATTTCCGATGTATTCGTAGGCATCCCTCGGGATACAGTTGATGATGGAGATGACCCAGTCTTGCGGAATGTCGGGGGGTTGAATGTCGAAAGTATGGCTTATCTTCGACATGTCGAGCTTGTAGCCCTTGAGAAAAAGGGGCATTGTATAGGGGAGCGTATAAAGATAATATAAGAAACAGAGCGAGGTTGGATTCAAAGTCTGGACGTGACAGTCGGATAGCCAGACGAAGTTCAAGTTCAGGTTTGATCTCCGACAGAACCTTCGCAGGGCCTTATATGAGTTGCAGACAAGTTGCAGAAGCCCATAAACTTTTCGCTATTCACGAATTTTAAAGCAGTGATGGCATAGTGGTAGTAACTTCTGTATTAAAGGCCGTTTTAGGGTCGCTCGTTCGATTGTCCCCGGCGCATTTCCGCATTTCCTTTTTTTTTAAATCTTGAAATGAACTTTCATCAGCAAAACCTGATTTTCCCACGTAGACAGGCATAGTGCTTCCGCTAATATCATAGTTTCCCATAGTTACACGCCAAGTTTGGCTAGATGCCCTAGCGCCACACAGCGCTCCACAGCACTGTGTGGGTGTAAGCTTGTGCTATACAGCACTACAGAGACTTGTGCCGTTACTATAGGGTGCTATAGAGGGGCCTCCACTTTCTACCCAGCCCTTATAGGGAGTCAAACTACAAGTATACTAGATTTCAGTAGAAAACACATTCCCTATTGTATATGAATAATTTATGACCAAAATACGCCTGGAATAAGAAGAAAGTACAACACTGTCCAGAGATTGATTGACCTACAAAGATTGCAACAAGAAAGAATATGAAGTATCTTTTGCAAAACATATTCGTCTTTTGTGATTTTTTTTGCGTTGGAAAGTGGTGTTCAAGCCGATTCCAACGCGTCTATTTACGTAGTATTTAGTTCAAAACTCAAATGGCTTTGGACCAATTACTGGTGAAGAATCTGCCTAAAAACGGTAAATGTTATCGGAGGTCGCCTTAAACGTCGAAATATTAGGGGCTCTCAGACCCGTTTTAAAGCTCTAATTTGTGCGTTTCTAACAAGCCCAAAATCGCATGAAACGGAGCAGAACTCATGATGATAATATATATTTCAGATGTCTAATACAGGCCAAATAGTTTATGCTACAGTTTGTGAGGTACTCCAAATTTTTCTACGCCGTAAATTGGATTGCATTCGCGTGAATGAAGCGATTAAAATAAGCCTACATAGAGGCCAAACGGTGTAATACTCGTGAAGTTATAGCTATGAGCTACCCTAGAAAGTGTAAGTGTGAATTGATGGAAGTCGGTACAGTTGCGGGAAGTCACGTGCCGCACTCAACTCACATTTTCGAACTTAGACAACTTCAATTGTTACTACTACTACCAAAAATCAGGAAATTTCGGGAAATCATCGAAATAGCCAGGAAATTTCTGGTAACAACTGCAAATTTCTTGGAAGGCTCGGAAATTGTTCAATAATTTTGCAATATGAACTTGATATTTGCCTGATTACATGGTGCCATCTACAATTGTGAATGCCCACCTCGAATGCCATGCTTTCTGTGAAAGACAGTGACAGGCGACAAACAACTTCAAGTCGCGAGACAATTCGTTCAAGTCCGTTGAAACTCCGACATCATGTGATTATGTTGAACTTTGAATTTCCCAACACGGAAATTCATTGTTCTTCCTTCCCACCACAATGTTCAACTTGTCCTCGACAAACGGTGTCCTCCCTCGTCGAGTTACAGCATCCTCCCTCCCTCGTTGACGAACCACGTCCCTCGACAAACGGTGTCCTCCCTCGTCCATGAACGGCGTCCTCCCTCCCTTGAAGAATGGCATCCTCCCTCTCTTGAAGAACGGCTTCCTCCCCCCCTTGAAGAATGGCTCCCTGCCTCCCTTGAAGAACAGCTCACTCCCGTGAAGAATGGCTTCCTCCCTTAAAGAAAAGATCCCTCCCTCATCGACGAACGGCTCCCTCGTCGACAAACGACTCCTCCCTCAACGAATGGCTCCCTCTCTCGGCAAACGGCTCCCTCCCTTGACGAAAGGCTCCCTCTTGACAAACGGCCCCCCTCCCTCGACAAACGGCTCCCCCGATGAACAGTGTCCTCCCTTGACGAACTGCTCCCTCACTCGTTGACGAACGGCATCCTCCCTCCCTTCTTGACGGACGGCGTTTCTCCCTCGACGAATGGTGTCCTCCCTCCCTCGTTGACGAACGGCGTCCTCCCTCTCTCGTTGATAAATGGTGTTCCCCTTGCCTTGAAGAACGGCGTCACCCCTCGCTTGTCGACAAACACATCTTCCCTCTGTTGTCGACGAACGGTGTCCTCCCTACCTCATTGATGAACGGCTCCCTCCCTTGAAGAACGGCGTCCTCCCTCCCTTGTCGACGAATGGTGTCCTCCCTCCTTTGAAGAACGGCTCCGTCCCTCGACGAACAACCGTCCTCCCTTCCTTGTTGGCGAATGGCATCCTCTTAGTATCTTTAATACTTGATACTCTGATTCCATAAATTTGATATACTGCAGTCATTACTACGTAGAATATTAGGATATCTTGTATAATGTAGTAGTGCAGACAATAAACTTATTTTTTCGTAACACAAGTTCTGTGTAAAAATCATGCAATATGGTATTAAAATGAGCAGAATGTATGCCCCCCCTCTAGGAATCTGCAGACCCCAGGGGTTGCTACTGAGGGCTGCAGATCTGCTCCGTAATTCTAGGGAGCACTATGAAGTGGCTATGTGTTTCTATGAATGGCTGCAGATCTGCTCTGAGATTCTAGGGAGTGCTGTGTAGTGGCTGTGCGTTTCTATGTAGAGCTGCATAGAACGTGCAGGTGACTGTAAAGGTGATACCCCTTTCTATGGTGCTATGGCACTACACAGCCCTGCCACGTGCTGCCTAGCTCACCCAGGTTTTGCTGATGTTTGCGACCACTACTAGGCTGAGGGCGAGCACTTAAATGCGTCGTCACCCACCACCTGTTGAGGATAACTCTCAGGATGTCATCGGGCCAGCAGAGCACCGCCAGCGAGTGTGCAATTTGTAGGGCAGGGTGGTCCCTACCTGTACCGCCTTGTTCATGGCCTCGGGCTTTACTGCAAAAAGACGCACCGTCCACTCTCCACGTCCCTTCCGTTACTTCGCTCCGATATCAATGGATGCACCAGGACTCGAAGAAAGGTATGTAATATTTTGATGCGGTATGTTCTACCCAATTTCGATTTTCAGGTCTCTCAGCTTTTATCTATTTCCAGCACCCAGCTGCTTGTCTCTCCCCTCGAACCAGGGATGTACGACAAATCTAGGACGATTTCGGATGAGGGTTAAGGGCAGGTGAAAAATGTGTGGAGAGACGCAGATAGAAAAATCATAGTTAGAGCATTATTCTACTTGGATTGGTTCATCCTCGTATGAATTGAACGAGGGGGTGGAAGACTTTGGTCGGCGAAGTGAAGGCTGAAATTGTGACTTAGGGTTAGGGTGCAAGCTCTTTACTGGATTCCAAACGATGGGATACTTCGCCGCCGGACGACGGTTATCAAGAAGCCTTCGACAACCATCGACATGCCCTCCCCCTTGTCTCTGTTCTGGAGATCCGAGTTCCCAGAAAACGACAACTCAACCTTGTTTACATGGCTAGTCTATAGACGAACGGCAGAACAAAGTTGGGAAACATTTGAAGGTGCGGAAGAAGGGCAAATGCCAAGGCCCGACTGGTGAAGAGGTGGTGGAAGATTGACATGACTGGAGGGGCAGAAAGAAACAAAAAAGGAAAGGAGAGCAAAAGAAATATTTACGAGACGCCCACAGCACCGGGGGGAAAGAAAATGTGCACCAGCAGAACGCGAGTTAACCCAAAGTTAACCTCTGAAAAAGAGGGTGGTCAAGACTAGACGTAGCGATGATGTGGCGAAGGGGAGAGGATACGAGAAAGATAGGGCACTCATGCCCACGATGACACAGACAACCGGAATGCAATGAAGGACGGGATGTGATGTGAGGGGGACGAAATAGGGGGGCAAACCGAGAAAACGCAGCAATTGGTGAATGTCAACGAGAGTTTCCAGCGTGTTTCTGAGTGTCGGAATACATAGGTACTAGACGAGGTAAAGTGAGCAGGTGAGAATGATTCGGAGCGGAGGAAGACGTACACGTCATATACCTCTTTACTCCCTACACAAGACGAACACATTGAGTCCTCCATGACGCTGAAGTGAAGGCATTCTTTGCCTCGACCGTCCGCCGCGGCGTCGCCAGAAGTCTAATGTTCCAATATTGCATCCGCTCAAGCGTTAGAATATGGCTGTTGAGGGGTTAGTCGATGAACAACGGTAACTGGGGAAAAGGAATCATATGATAGAAGGATGGGGGCTGATTCATCGATCTAAGTCTCAATAACGAAAAGGAACGGGCATCGAATAGGCTGATCCAGAAAGGAACGGAACAAAAGGAGGAAAGAGATGGGCGTGCGCTGAACACAGGCCCACCACCTAGACAAAAGGGGGACGGTTGAAGTAGGGGGAAGGTCGAAAAAGCGGATGGGTGGAGAGAGCACGCACCCAACTCTTCAAAAAATGCGGTATCCACTTAGCACTTGCAACGAAAACGTTTGAGCGTGTTTTTATTTACCACTAGTAGGCTCTAAACCGACAACATGAGGAAAAGCTACCCATGTAGAAAAACAAACCAAGACGTACATGCAAGCCCGCCCTCCTCCTAGAATCGTCATCCTACACAAGATGGCGTCAAAACTAAATAAAACAGGTACAACTCCGGACTCATAAGTGCGAGTAGATTCCTGGGACATGCGCGTCGGAGACAGATGAGGGAAGAGGAGAAAGCCACTGCTCTGGGATCCATTCAAGCGCATCGGGGCCCCAAATGTCCGGGTTCCTATTAGCTTCGATAATCGATGTAAAGAGGTTTGTGTTGTTCGGGACTGATATTTCATGGAATCCTCTCTGTTGAGACCTCTCAAAGGCTCAGAGAGTGGCGTTATGAATCTTATGATGTCCTGCCGCGTCCTATACAAAGACGCCGTCAGAAAGACTTGACGACATTAAAAAAAGACAGAATGAGGGCGCGCGCGCACGGTCTAGTCAGAAACGACACCGGAGGGTAGAGGCGATGAGTTTCTCTAACAATTGCTTCAGGATATAGTGACTGTGTGCGATGGAGTGAGAATCTGTGAGATCTCAGATGATACGCTAAATTCTTACATTTCCGGATGAATTTATCGCCACGTAACACTCCTACACTAAGTTCAACAAGTATGAGGTGAGCGTCAGCCAAAAAGAATCTCGACTTGGAACCAACCCCATGGATCCACATACTAGTATCTCTTGCGCGTCGATACCCCATCAATTTGAAAGATTTCACCTAGTTTTGCGGAGTGCCAGGTCGAATCAACAGTCCCCAGAACTAAAATACGTAGATAGGAAGTGAAACGGATATCGCGCTGGATGGCCACTCACCAGAATCTCGCCCTCAGTTTCTTCGAGAAACCCGACGCGTTGCAGTTGGGAAGCGTGTTCCGGCATCTGTGGTCTATATACCATTGCTATAGGCCCATCTATGAAGATAATTATTAGCGAAAAGGCTACCGGGCTCAACTTCACCATCCATAAAGAAAGTTCCGACGTTTTCACTGCCAGCGTGCAGCCTCGTACAGCGTGATCTATCTTCTTATCATCCTATGACTTCTCCCTGATGGAATAACAGGGAGGACGACGTTAAATTCAGTGCTTACCTGACTCCACAGTATCGTGGAAAGTAAAGGGCTTATGCCAAGTTGTTGGACGATTGAAGGCGAGCACGTAGCTCCTGCAATGCCAGTCAGTATGTAGTCCTAAGGTTTCACTGCCAGTGTGTACACGTCATTCAATCGTTATATTCCGTAAGTATGTTGCATGCTATATTCTACAAATGAGGTCAGGAAGTTGGGGTAATATGCGTAAGGTAAGCTTGTCCAAGGAAGGAATAATGCAATCGGGTTCATCGCAAATGAACCGCGGATAATGTCAAAGGGGGATAATGAAAGTGTGTGAACGAAGATGAATAAAAAATGGCAAGGAAAATGGTCGTCCGACCCAGCTTGGCCGCCCGAATCATATCAAGAACCTTGGCCTGGTTCTCTCCATCCAAAGATGACGTGGATGTCGTAGTCCGAGATGGCTTGGTTTCCATACCGGATGTTCTCTGCGATGGTGGCGTCGAAGAGGTTCCTAAAACAGATGTTTATGCACAACCAAAGGCGCAAAGTGAAATTTCAGATGTGGTCTACAATTATTGGCAGTTAGCTGCCAGTCACGGCCTCTCATTCTTGAGGCCACTTATCTCCTCACTGTGAGTTGCTCTTCTCAACGTCAGGTTACTTATTCAAGGACTTCGCAACTAGGCAACTTTGTTATCCCTGAGTTTGACCTTCGCAACCCATCATCATGTCGTTTATTATTGGCGACCAGCGCAGCCGTAATGCTCAAGCACAAGCCAGACCGAAAAAAACGCAAGGAATATATTGAATATGTAAGCGTGAACACAGCTCCTTTCACCACACGACCTCGCTGCGTTTTAATAAGCGTCGCCCAGCTTGAACAAACTGTTGCAATGCTCTAAATGGCTCTGAGGCTACGAGAAGAGCGGGCGGAGCTCTGGAGGATGGTCGCAGAGATCAGAGGGACATCAACCGCCGGCATGAGTTGGAACTCATTGACAACCTACCCAGATGGCTAGTGTTTGGAAGTCCGGTCTCGTGACTGGAAAAAGACCGTAACCAGACCGGACCAAGACCGCAAAAGACCAGACCTGCGGTTACGGTCTTTTATTTTTGAAATGTAAAGACCGCAAAAAGACCGGTTAACGTGAACCGGTCTTGACCGGTTTGGACCGGTCTTTTGTAGCCCCTTAAATACCCTTTAAAACGCACCCAAGAACGTACGATTTGGTAAAAAAACGAGAGAGATATGAATTAAAATGTAAATTACTTTTGGGAATAATAGATGTACAGTCATCCACGTGACAATGTCACATAATCACTCAGTGAAACACTTGGGATGTATTTTGCATCTCCTGGCGGAATGAAAGGAGGTACTCTGCTCAAATTTTTTCCAATCTTCGGATCTAATGCCTGCGGAATCGACCATCAAAAATTCTCGATGAAAAAATCACTTTTAAGTATTGAAACTGCCGAGCAAGCCAGGTAGATCATGGATTTTGGATGTTTTCAATTTTATACAGAGGGCCTCACCGTAAAAATGCTGTACCTGACCATACCACTCATGTATTTAGTGACCAGCATGGGTAATACCACAGTTTTTTCACCATAATGAGCACATCACACTGTATCACAACTGCATCTTGACGAAGAACCCGCACCCACGTGTGAAACTTGAAGCTGCGTGCACACCCTCCTTGCCATCGACTCGCGTTTATGGGCTCTCGCTCCACCTACTTGTGTTTACTGAATCTTGATCCATGTATTCATGTACGCAGAGGGTCTATAAACACTTATTGTTAATCTTAGTGGACATTCATTCGTTCAACGCAGCAGATTTGCTTCAGAAAGATCACCAACCTGCAGCTGCAAGGCTAGCTGCAGGTTTCTGTATGTATACGCGGAGTGGGCCCAATGTTTTACTTAATTTTTAATTGAGCGCCCCTCTCTTCTACCTATGGCTGGCCGAGCCAAATCCGATGTCGACAAGGCTTATGCGCGCAAACGTGTTTATGAGGCTTTGATGGTCCGGGCTGTCGCCGCATACAAGGCAGATCAAAAGAAACCGAAGAAAGATCGTCGTGGATACCGCAAAATCTGCCTTGATTTCGAGAGTCTTCAATTTGAAGAGACTGGTAAGTATATTAATGCTATTCTAAATGACATTCAACTCATTTTTTTGACAGGAAATCATATCAAACTCAGTTATACAACCTTGAAACGACATGTTGCAGGTGGAATGTCGCATGAACGAGCAAGTGCGGATCGATCCTGGCTTACTGATTCCGAGGTCGACATCGTCATCGATTTCATCAACGAGATGGCGCATCGTGGGTTCCCTCTCAGTCATGCGCGGCTGAAGGAGCATGTCGATGACATATGCAGTGCGCGCCTTGGCGCTTCCTTTCCCATCAAAGGTGTCGGAGAGAATTGGACTTACCGCTTTTCCAAAAAGTATTCCGAACGGATCAAGATCTCACGTTCCCGACCACTAGAAGACAAACGAGGGCGCGCAACAAATCCACACAACAACGAGGCGTGGTGGAAACTTCTTGGGGAGACCATCACAAAATACAAGATCAAAGAGGAGAACACGTACGCAACAGATGAAGTTGGAATACAGGCCCAGGGAGGTGGTGAGCGTGAGTATGTTTTCGGCCCTCGTACAAAAGCCGCACCCTACCAGCAGCGCTCTGGAACGCGTGAAAATATTACCACCATCGTTACGATCTGTGCAGATGGCACAAGCACACCTCCTGCTGTTATCTTCAAGGGGAGTGCCTACCAGGTCAAATGGGGGGAAAATAATCCCCTTAATGCATCGTATGTCATTCTATTCACTATCTTCATGTCTGTAAATAAATCTTCTGCTAGGATCGGATACCAGCAGAAGGGCTGGACAGATGGTGAAATCGGCGCATCCTGGATGAAGTTATTTGAGAAAGCAACGCGAGAAAAGGCAAATGGCGAGTACCGCTTACTAATTGTGGATGGACACAACTCACACTACACGGTCGCCTTTCTCCTTCTTGCTCGCCTCCACATGGTCATAGTCATCTGCTATGTTGCGCATGGGACACACGTCTATCAAGGTCTTGATGTGGTCGTGTTTGCTGTGCTGAACACTATCTCGGCGTGGAGCGCGATGCACTGCTTCGTACAACTGGGAATGCGATCGACAAAGGAAATTTTCTCCAGGTCATATCTAAGGCCTACATTACCACTCTGACCCCAGAACTCATCAAGACTGCTTTCCGCAAGACCGGCATCTGGCCATTCAATCCCAATGTCATTACTGCTGATATGCTTGCGCCAAGCAAGGAGACATCCATCCAGAGCCACCTTCCTGTCCCTACTTCCTCTCAGCCTGTCCAGATTCTTGCCACCATGTTGAGGGACCTTCAAATCGCGGGAGATACTCCAGATACCGATGCTGATGTTATCTCAGGGGGTCAGCGGGCCGGGCCGTCACCCACACGAAATGAAACAACAGTAAATTCCACACGCACACGCCATTCAACCAGAACCACCACTCACCTCGAAATCCTCGAAGGAGCTGTTGCCGCCCTCAAAAAGACCAACCTTGCCTTCCTTGCCACTCCCACTCCCACTACTGCTGCTGATCCCATGCCTACCACTACCACCCGTACTGTCCAGCAAAATTCCGTTCCCATCAATAACGCAGCAGCGGCATTGGCTATCGTGCCCACTACAGCAAACGAGCTGCTTCTCCTGGCAGCGCTTCGGGAATCACAAAGCCAGAACCTTCGCACTGAGGTCCACGCATTCGAGCTCCAGGCATCCAACATCCTCAACGAAGCCTACGCAAAGCGGCTCTGCGCAAAACTGGCGGCACGAGAAGAGAAGCGCAATAAGAAGAAGACCATAAAGCTGGTCGGTGATGGTCTGGCTCGGCTTCTGAGTGGGGACGAGTTCTATGAGCTATAGTGTTTGAAAGTCCGGTTCGGTCCGGTTTTTTGATGCCCAGCGGCGTTAACTGTAACCATAACCGGTCTGCCTTTTCCCCAGAAGTCAAAAGACCAGACCGGACCGCAAAAAGACCGCAGACCGTGGTTTTTTGCGGTCTATAGACCGGTTTCGGTCTGCATCGGTTTTAACCGGTTTATGACCGGTCTTTAGGCCAATATTTTAAAATTATGAATCTGTAAATTTATTAACATCTCTAATAGCTTCAAAACGAGCCCAAGAACGTTAAATTCCATTAGGAATTGGTGCTTCTATAAAATAAGTCTGGTACATCTATTATTCCCAAAAGTAATTTACATTTTAATTCATATCTCTCTCGTTTTTTTACCAAATCGTACGTTCTTGGGTGCGTTTTAAAGGGTATTTAAGGGGCTACAAAAGACCGGTCCAAACCGGTCAAGACCGGTTCACGTTAACCGGTCTTTTTGCGGTCTTTACATTTCAAAAATAAAAGACCATAACCGCAGGTCCGGTCTTTTGCGGTCTTGGTCCGGTCTGGTTACGGTCTTTTTCCAGTCACGAGACCGGACTTCCAAACACTAATGAGCTAGCGCAGCAGAAAGAGAAGGAGATGCGTGAGGTTGCGAGGGAGAAGGAGAGGAAGAAGGATGGCAGAGCGTTGTACAAGGCAGCTGTTGAGGAATGGGAGGTTGTTGAACAGGAGCGAAAGGATGCCAAGGCCGTCGCCACTGCCAATCTCAAGAAGGCCGTCAAAGCATGGGAGAAGAAACGGGACGCTGCAAAGGCGAAGGGAACGCGCTTCACCTTAATCAAACCAAAGGGGGATCCAGCCCCGAAAGCCACCCCAAAGCCGAAGTTGAAGGACTTTCTGGGTGCCGTAGCCGAGGATCAAGAACCCGAGAGCAGTGGTGACGACGCTGACGAGGGGGGGGGAAGTGCAAGCGTGAGCGGCAGCGATGGAGACGACGACAACGACGACAATGACTGAACGGGCTAGGCGGGCCGGGCCCTGTACCATTGACCCATAATTCCGGTTTCACCTCAGCCACCTCCAATTCCTTCGCCCGGCTCTCAAATCTTGCTCATTTCTTTTAAAATCACTCTCATATTGTAGCTGGGATACACGTTGATACTGTTGTACCTTTTTGTTTGTGAAATTCTATTTATTCCTTTCATCGCATGATTTCTACGATTTGGGTGTGTCATTGACACGTGCATGACTGTACCAGACTTATTTTATAGAAGCACCAATTCCTAACGGAATTTAACGTTCCTGGGCTCGTTTTGAAGCTATTAGAGATGTTAATAAATTTACCGATTCATAATTTTAAAATATTGGCCTAAAGACCGGTCATAAACCAGTTAAAACCGATGCAGACCGAAACCGGTCTATAGACCGCAAAAAACCGCGGTCTGCGGTCTTTTTGCGGTCCGGTCTGGTCTTTTGACTTCTGGGGAAAAGGCAGACCGGTTACGGTTACGGTTAACGCCCCTGGGCATCAAAAAACCGGACCGAACCGGACTTTCAAACACTACAGATGGCAGGCGTTGTGACCGAGACCATACCCTGGTGGGCCATGCTACGGAAGGGGTATACATCGTACAGTCGCACTCCTACCACTATTCAATACTCAATGCTCAAACTCAACAACGTGTAGGTCCCAAGTGAAACTCCACCCCATGTGACGGAACCACTTTTGCGACCACCGCCATCGACAATATCCCAATCAGCCTCGAACTATCACTGTGATATTCCCTCCAACGCCAATCACCATGGTCCTGGGCCAAGCTTTTCATTTGGCTTGCAAGTACCCGCATTCCAAATGCCAAATACCCCATCGGGTTCAAGTGCCACTACAAGCCCCCCATTCTTGGTGAGTATTGTTACTATTTTACCCCCCATCCATGCGTCCCGACGCTGGCGATAAAAAATTTTCTCGAATCCTAGTGACAATCCTTTTTTTGTTCCCGGCTGTAGCCTAACGCACCTATACACCTCCCCATGGACCTCTGTCCACAACAATACAACAACACGCTCTCAAACTACATGCAATATCCAAACCAATATATTTCTGTCGAAGTGGAGGACGACGCCAGTTATATTGTGAGTCAACACCCTCAACTCGTAATATCTTTCATTAAAAATAGGCATTTTCAGCTGGGAGACCATCGATTTTTTCTAAGCTACTGTTATCCGCATAGCCATCCCCACGACTACAATGGCACTTTGTATGAATTAGAACATATATTCAGATAGGCCGCAATTCCACAGTTAACGTTGTTTTTGTCATTGGGAGGAGCCTCTTTGGTTATACCTTGCTTACGATACCCTTTGCCTCGGTAATAGTACAGGCTGTGGGCGGGGTGTAACCTTTGTGTGTATAATGATCTCAATATTTCCGCTTTGTTCAATCATGGCTTTAAATCCAGGCTTAATTGGTAGAGAACCCACCGCAGCGTTAATCATCGCAGCTATCATCCCATACCCATCCACTCTCCCCGTCAATGACGATAGGGCCTAATTACATTATTCTTTCATTTTCCCCTGCAGTGACAAAATAACATAAGGTTAAAATAAACCATTCCACAGTTCCTAAAACAGAGCACTAGTGATGAATACTCAACAGTGAGAGTCTGTGAGACACTATGAAGCCAAAATATGTACATCTAAATCCAGGCAAGGTACAATGGATGCATGGATAGCGATAGGTGTTATACTGCGTAAAGCTGCGTAAAGTCTATGTGCATAAACGAATCCACGTTCAGCAGAGTAACAGATGATGACGACGACGATAACGTGGGGAGTGAAAGGGCAAGTGTATATGTATAGTGCGATATGATGGGTGATGGATAGTAGATAGCGACGATGAGCAGAATTTTATTGCGCTGTGGTGGCGATGGTGGTCAGGGGAACGATGGGGCTGGGAGGGCCCGTCCATCAATGACAAGCAGTGCTGCTGGTCAAATCATGCCTGCGGTCTTAAGGTGTTCCTGTACGATGGAATCTCTCACTGTCGCAACCAAGATCCATCAGAGAATGCATTCACACCGAGAATGGGAAACCAACCTGTCTTGAGTGTATTCGCAGTAGCTTCGGTGTCCTACAAGGACGACATGTTCGTGTTGGTGACTGATGGTAATGAAGAAATGAAACAAGAGAGACATACAGTCACGGATGTCGCATAACAGTAACACATCCTGGGAACCAGGGACTGCTCCTTCAGTATATCCTTGAACTTTTTTTCAAGGTCTAAACAACGCATCAGCCCAAGTCCCCCAAAGAAGGCGAAGGGCGAGCACCACTAACATTTGATAACACTCCCTGCCTCATTCGGCCTTTCCCCATAGTTCGGGAGGAACTTCTTCACCATAACGCCGGACTTCAATTTACGATTGAGAATATCGCATTTGTTGAGGAAGAGGATGAGGGTTGCTTTGACCAGGAGTTTAGAGGAACAGACGCAGCGCCAGAGGAGCAAGGAGTCTTTGAGACGGTTGATCTTGGAGTCTTCTTGGAGGCGTTCGTCGAAACACGATATAGCTATTCAAAGTGAATGAGATTGGTATGGAATGAGATGAGGGTCGAGGAGCTTACGTGCGAGGAAGATGATGGCGTCGACGTTGTCGAAAAAG